TTGATAAGCAATTGATTAGTCTAGTAATAACTATAAAATATAATGCAATAAAGCATCATTATTCATCTCAAATAATAAAATATTTTACAACTAAATAAAAATAGAAGGGAAATGCATGTGTACACAAAATTAATTAAGTTATATGGCTAATTTCATGGCCCAACTCCGTGAGTTATCAATGAACAACTTCTTGGGTTAAAATAGAACTACGTTTACATATAATTAATAATATGTACATGATCACTCACTACAATTTTCTTGTATTAGTCTAGACTACCGATGCAAATAGAAGGTTGAAACTAAGGATGAGTTATCATTACAAATTCTAATTGGGCAGGATAGTTTTTTTTTCGATCTGGTTAAAAAATGAAGAAATCCAAGTACCTACAAGATTTTGAAAAAAAGGCAATGGCTACCACAGGCTAAGTTTTGATGGCTCATGTGCACACACTTGATGAAAATAGACAATTTTGCTCTTTTACCCAAATAAAAAAAATCAAAATCCAAACCACTATATACTTATGCCATCGCTAGATCATTGTTTAACCATAAGATATCCACATTAATCTTGTCAAAATCATATAGAATCGTTGTTTAAAATTCAAAGCATTGTAAAGGTCTGATCGTTGTTATGGTGGTACGTACCTGAGTTCGTGGACGACGCCGGAGGGGTTGATGAAGTCGGAGAAGATGACACCACGGAGATGATGCACTGTAAGTGCTATTCTTCGAAGGGAAGAGAATCAGATAGAAGAGAGGAGGAGAAATTAACCGATAGGGAGGGAGGCGGAACGTTGTTCTAGGTATTTCACTTTTTTCCGATTGTTGTTTCTTTTCAATTGTAGGATAATTTGAGAGATGTGAACTCATGCTTCTATATATAGGTAGGATAATTAATGGGATAATTATGAGAAATTATCCCAATTCTAATTCTACTAGAATTCTACTTGACTAACGCACAAAAAATAATAATACAGTTCTAGTTCTACAAAAGTTCTACTTGACTAACACTACAAAATAATATCCCATTTCTTAATTCTACGTGACTAACACCTTAAAATTTTATCCCACGGATTATCTCAGTTCTAATTTTAAGTTCTAGATGACTAACCCCCCTAAGAATTTAAGCTATTATGTATTGGTTCACTCCTATCTTAATTTGAAATTAGTGATATATCATATCATACTCTCTTTAAAAGTACGAGTTTGTAAAAATCTTTCGGGAGACAAAAATACTCTTCCATTGAGCAATAGTAAGTTAATAAATTGATGAATTCTTATTGGATATACATAGTATAAAGATAATGATATATTTTAAATTAAAATGTAAATCTTAATAAAATTATTAAATATCAAATTTACAAATGTATACAAGATGAAGGGTGTATATACAAAAACCAAATAAATTAATGAGATAAATAATATCTGCCCTAAAGGTCGAACACATAAATAGCACAGACCTATAAATGTACATAGTGTGGACGTGATATTTGCAAAATTCACCAAACAAATTCAAGAGACAAAAGTCGTTCTCAAAATCATAAAAAAGAAAAATTAAAACAAACGGCTACGATCTAAGGACACAACGTGACGATCTCTCACCGACTAAAATTCAAGTAGTTCACAATAATGCATAATTAGTTTTAAAGTTTAATTATATTATTATTATTATTTAAATAGAACTCTATTTACAATGTTATCTTCTCACACGCAACATCACATACCAATAGATATAAGCCAAGAAATTACAACAATTTTCATAGCACTTTTATCTCCTTCTATAGGTATATGCCTTTATTATTTTCTTCTTATTAGATTAGATTAGATTGTTTAAATATTATGAATTATGAAATAGTAACAATTTTCACAACACTTTTATCTATTTTCTTCTTATTAGATTAAAGTAGATTATTTTAAAGTAATTAACTATATTATATATTTAATCTTTTTTCAGATCATAAATTATAATAATTTTTCATAGCACTTTTATCTCCTTCAATAGGATGTGCCTTTGTTATTTTCTTCTTATTAGATAATATTAGATTGTTTAAAATTATGAATTATGAAATTGTAACAATTTTCACATCACTTTCATCTATTTTATTCTTATTAGATTAAATTAGATTAGATTATTTTAAAGTAATTAATTATATTGTATATTTGATCTTTTTTAGATCACAAAGTTTAATTATACTATTATTATTTAAATAGATATTGTTTGTATAAAAGTCCAAGAGAATCTAACTTATATCTTAGATCTCAATACCAATTGTAATACTTACATATGGGTGTTAGTTAAAACAATTTTTATGTATAGGCTTAACTTATATGATCTTACTTTAAACGGATTAGATAATTTAAATTTTTTTTATACTCAAACTCTTCCACAAAACCAAAAGAGAGTAGCAATGCTATAGCTATATATATCCACATGACCACAGATATCTCGAAAATGAACGAAGAAAACCACACAAACAAAAAACATATTAATTACCTCCCTGACACCATTATTTTCAAAACCACCCTTCTCAATTCCATCTATAATATATTCATATACCCAAATTAAGCTGCTGGAGTTTTTCCCTCACAAACTACATAATTGATCAATCCTATTTTTTCCTTTGTACTTGGATTGTATAACATTCATTGCGATGAGGACTCACCTCGGTCCTCTGTCTTCTTTGAAGACCCACAAAAGAAATAATGTACTAGGCCTTGTAATTAGTTAATAATAAGATCTTGTCATTATAAACAAATTAAGTAAAGATTAATAATTTTTAAGAATGTATTACGTTCCCCTATCTTCCACTGCAAATCTGTTAGTGTTTATTCTGGCCCCCAAGAGATTTTTAAAATTAATCTTGAGGGTTGCTTGTATTAAAAAAGTTATGTTAGAGGGCCCAAATAGTCTATTTTATAATTTAAGATTGTCAATACATTTTGTCTTTGATGCATATCAATTATGAGTAATAATATAATTTGATTGATCCGAGTATATCCTAATATATTTCTAGACTCTTGTATTGTATTTAACTCTTTATTATATACCAACATGATATCACAATTGATGTAGACGATGAAGGCACCACTGTAGAATTACCCAGGAAAACGATAAAGGTGAAGACGGATCGATCTCAGCTCAATTAAATATGAAAAATGAATAAATGATAATATTTTTTTGAATATTTTATAGTAAAACTTAATTTTTGAGTAAAATTAGGAACCTTTTAAAAGGGATTTTTATGCAAAATTTTTAATACACTTATGTGAATGATTTTGTCATATAAAATTATACTAGAGTCACCATTAATATTTAGTATCTATTTTTTTTAAAGTTTATCAATAATTAAGATGTTTTCTAGTCTTGTGAAAAGTATGTGCTCTGTGTTGAGCTTATACAAGTCATCTTAATATTAAGTATTTGGTTATATTTTTATTAACACATTAACAATATATTATTATATTTTTTCAAACTTTACACTATATTTAATGACTAGGATAAACAAATTAGACATCGATGATTTAATCCGATAAATAAATATGCTACATGAAGTTTATTTAAAAAAATAATATTGTATATGCAAGTATATAAAAGTATATTGATCCTAGTTTTACACACAAATCTATTTCATAAGTTTTTAAAAAAAAGTTTAAATAAAATTTATGGCAAAAGTAATAATCTATATTTATAATTTTTAATTCAAAATGAATTTGACTTATTTTATAATAAGAAATAAGAAAATAAACAAATAAATAATTTTGATATCTAACCACGTGCATTGCACGTGCACAAAAATTAGTTTATTAAAGGACAAATTTTGAAAATCATCCCATTTACAAAAGAAATCGCAAAAAAACGACCTATTCTAAAAATAATTGTCAAAACCGACCTAGTTTCAGCCGTTGGGCTGAAACTTGGTCGGTTTTGACGATAAAAACTATAAAACTTCACGGGGCTTGAAGTCCCGTGAAGTTTAGTAGCCTATAATAATGTTAATTAAGGGTGACAATTCTTTCACGGGACTTCAAGTCCCGTAAATTTTTTTAGTTGAAAAAACTTTACGGGACTTGGACTTAAAGTCCCGTGAAGTTTGAGCTGAGTCCTTCTCTCTCTCTCTCTCTCTCTCTCTCTCTCTCTCTCTCTCAATCCCTCCGTTGTAACTCGCAACGGCAACCGAATCCCTCTCTTTCTCTCTCGCTAACATTAATCAAACACCCTTATTTTCTCTCTCTCTCTCAAGCTTCATTCTCTTCCCTTCTTCCATCCTCTTTCTCTCTCTAGAAATGTCAACCAATCATCTCCCCCTTCTCTCATCTCCAACCTCCAGAATGCCCACATCGCCCGAAAAAGGCAACAGAGACGAAGAAACTAAGGAATGGAACCCATCAACGGAAGAAGCCCAAATCGAGGAAAGCAACGAAGAGGGATCGAGGAAGCCTGTGGTTCTCATCATGAATTGCGATGGGATTGGGTCCCCCGGGCTCGAACTCCTCGTCCAGGCTCTCGTTCGCCATGGCGAGTACGACGTCCACGCCTGCGCTCTCAAATCGTGAGTTCTTTTCGGGCTTTTTTAAAGTAATGGGCGTGGTTAATTTTTTGATATTGTATTTGTTTGTTGCTCAAAATCTGATTTTGATTGGCGATGCTTCTCTTTTTGTGGTTTCTGCATAACGGGACTTTAACAAATTTCACGAGACTTCATTGTTGGCGACTTTAATCTATTAATATTAAGCGTTATTAAACTTCACGAGACTTCAAGTCTCGTGAAGTTTCATAGTTCTTTTCGTTAAAACCGACTCAGTTTACAGCTGAAACTATGTCGGTTTTGACAACTATTTTTAGAATAAGCTGTTTTTTACGAAATTTTTGGTAAATGAGATGATTTTCAAAATTTATCCTTTATTAAATTATTAAGAGTTGACTCACTATACTCATTACATAATTTTTTTTTTACGTCTGACGACACTTAACCCGTACCAAAGGGCACCGAAAGGTTTAAGTGACTAATATCCAAAAAAGGCCTTCTTCTTTTGCCCTCTTGGCCTTTCCCCTCTTCCTCCGATCAGTAACCCTAATCTCCGCCGGCGGCCAAAGATAAGTTGAAATTAGCGGTAATTTGATTCGATTCTTTTAATCTGACCTCGATTTTATGTTTTTTCCCCTTGCTAATTAAGATCATGCCTCTAGAACATCTCGATGGATCCGGACGCTTCTAGTTTTCAATTGCTTATTATTATTATCATTCTTAAAATTGTAGAAATATCGGATCTATTGATTGTTGTGCAGAGATTTGTGATATTTTTAGCATTTTCAGAAAATTTGTAGATAACATCGTTTGATTTGGATCGTAGACGAAATTTTGATGGATCGTTCAATTAATTGATGGATTCCACATCTTGACTTATAAAATTCGAAGGCTATTCGAATAAACGACTCTATTTAGTTTGATATTTCCGTCAGACTTTGATCTTTTATAACGTGATATATAATGGAAGATTACATTTTTTTTATTTCTTACTTAATTAATGGGGAACATTTTACTTTTGGGCGGAATCTGAGATATCTAATTTAATAGTGTAATTTGACTGAAATTTTTTACTTGGACCCAAGTGCTTACCTTTGAAGTGTGTATGGCCCAAAAATAGCTTCACAGGCTTCCAGTTCTAAGGCATGGTTTGCTGATATTTTTCTTATTGCAGATTGAATCTGTTTGTTGATCGATATATCACCAGAGTTTTGTAAGGTAAAAGGTATATATCTTTTGCTTCATTAACAAGGAGTTCTATCTATTTCCACTATTGAACCATGGTTCTGGGAAAATTTAAGTCTTGTTGTTTGTAATATTAATTTTAGGAAAGGAAAAATGTACGGAGGGAATAATGGTACTCCAATATTTCCTATTTTCTTGGATGACAATCAATTCCAGTATGATACTAATGCGTCCGCAACACAGCTCCAGTTGTTTAGAAATGGTGAGCGTGACATTTCTTATGCATTTTTTGTTGTTTGGAATTGTATACCATGTTCCTGATATTTTATATAAAGAATTTAATATCAGCATTCATAATTTCGCATCAATTTCGATGAATTTGTCAAATTTGTCGACTTTTACATTGCCTCCAATTGTTTTTTTATATAAGAGTCATATCATTTGTTTTGAATTATTTACCGTTGTGTGCTTTATTTTAGTTTCATGCTTTAATTAACCTTTTTGAAACACTTTGTTACTTCTGCTCCTTTTCTTATTTTATAGTTCATTGTTATATTCAACTCGTGTATGAGTGAAATTGTTAAGTTTTGTAGAAACATGGAACGATTATACTGTCGCACGTGTTAAAAATTCAGTACCCACCTATATTGTTGACCTTATAGTACATATAGGCCACTTTTATGCTTGCATATGATAAAGATATTGTTTTGTCATTCTCTTGAGGCAGAGAGCTGCTATATCTGTGTCTCATTATGTAACGAAAATGAAGATAAACTTAAGCTAGTTAAATGAGTATGCTTTGCTAAGATATCAAATTCCACTTTAATTTATTGTTGTTTTGCTTATTAAATGCCATGTTGTACTCATAGATCATATTATTTGTTGTTTCTGTTGATTCTGACCTGCTAGTCGCAACTACTAAAATTTAGTGTTATAATTGTTCCATTTGAGCTGTTTCTGGTCTGTGACTATGTGCGGGTTCAAATGGTGAACACTTGTTTTGGGTAATTAAGAACAAACCGCACCTTCTGTTATCGTCTTTACTGAACCTGAGGCGGTATTCTTACTGTAAAACAATAATAGGAATTCTTTAGAGCACATGTTCTGATGTCAGCTTTAGTGTAAATATTTTCATCTATGTTTCACCATTACTTCACATGTCTATCCAATTCCTCTAAGAGTGCTAGTGTTGATCAGTGTTCTTCCGGCCCTGTTTACTATATAGGACCGCTTAACTGTCCAAAGGACATTGATCACTGGTAGATTCTTTTATCTTTCTGTAGACTCTTTTATCTTTCCAGCACTTTAATAAATATTTTGTTGTTGTTGTGGTACTATGACTGTCCATTATGATATGACAAATTCTGGTATTTTTTTATTTCTGTTAAGATCTTACCAAGTTGACTATGAATGAACGATTCCTAACAGTTATGGTAGCCATGTTTTAATTATATGCTTTACAAGTAAGTGTAGTTATTATCGTCCTCTATCTTTTCTAATAGGTAAAATATGTAATATTCAAATTCGTTAACCAACTTAGCTACTAAATCTGTACGTATATTGCACATAGCGTAGGACTTGTATTTACCATGTTTCATTTTATGTTGCAGTTCCAGCAACATGTAATATTGGCGACAATAATATTTCTTCGTTAAACCGATCTAACAAGAGGAACAGAGAGTCCGAAGATATTGTAACGCAGCATAAGCTTCAAATTTCATTAAATAAGCTTTACCAAGATAAGACTGATATGTCAGCAAGTATTCCTAACCCAAATGCTGTCTCAACTGGGTTGAGATTGTCCTACGACGATGACGAGCACAACTCATCTGTCACAACCACCAGTTGGGGTGTACCTTCACTTCCTATCATTACGTCTCTTGGTGATAATTTAAGGAGTGAATTTGAACGCCAGAAGAAAGAATTTGATCATTTCATTAGAATCCAGGTATGCTTTTTACTCATGTACCATGAAGAACAGTCTGCCTTGAATCCTTTATCTATGTCTATTGCTCATGTTGGCAATTCTAGACTCTAGAATATTGTGAAAAAGCTGTCCATATAAATTAAATCTATTCTTGTTAACAAGTATTGTTGTTTTTTATTCTGTGAACCACTTCTTCTTTTATTAGAGTAGAAGTTAATGTATGTATTAAGAACAGCCACTCTTCTTGTCATATGATCTGATGTTAGGGAGGAGTCCTTTGAAAAATTGGGGTTTTTGCCTTTAAACCCAAAGCTTTAACCCTTAATTTATTTTAAAACCCAAGTAGTTCTATCTATACTCATAAACCCACGATAGTTTCTCTTTTTATCTAAAGGAGAAATACACCATACATGTAGTGTATCTCTATCAAAATTTCCCAAAAATGTCCTTTCCCCTTATCTCCAGCTCTTCTCTTCCTCTCTGTTAAACCTCATACCCATGGTTGCTTTCCCCTCTCCTCCAACCCCTTTTCACCTCCTCCCTCTCCTATACATCCATCTTCTCTGCTTCTATACCACCACTTCCTCCAAACGAAACCATCTTCTCCTCAATCTCCAACCCCACTCCCACCTCAATCTCCTCCCTCCTCCTCTCTCGCTTCTCCTCACTCTTTCTTCTCCCTCCTCCTCCAATCCTTTCTCCTCTCCTCCACATTCTATTGAACAACTTGTCTACACTCCAAATTTCCATCTCCTTTCTCCTTGGCATTCCATCAAATGACTTCTTTACAATCCCTCCTACAATAGTGTAGTTAGGATTGCCGAAGGGTAATAGGAAAGAGAATTTTAAGAGGCGGCCTGCCATTGTTCTAGGCGGAGGTAATGCGGATTTTCCAGGGTTGGACGCAGAGAGAAGAAAGAATGAAAAGAGAAGGATGAGGGAGGATATGGACTAGAGAGTGGGGTTTGAGACTGGGGAGGAGAGGGCTATTTCAAATTGGGGAAGTAGTGGTGGGGTAACAAAGGAGGTGAAGGTAGCAGCAGTTTGTGATGGAGAAATGACGATAAAGACTTGGAGAAGAGGGGGCAGAGGAGAGAAAAGGGTGTCCATGGAGATGGGTTATAACGGGGATAAAGAAAAGGAGTTGGAGGTAAGGGGGAATGAGCATTTTGGGAATTATTTTTAGATATACAATACAAATATGTTGTATTTCTACTTTTGGGTTTAAAGATAAAAGGAGAAAGTAACTTAGGTTTATGAGCATAGATAGAACTAGTTGGGTTTTAAAATAAATCAGGGTAAAACTTCGGGTCCAAAGGCAGAAAATCCTTAAAAATTATGCTTCTTCCTACGAGTAACCCACATGCAGCTAAAGAACATTTCATTAAGGGCTCAGTGTTGAATATAAATGCATATATAGCCATGGGTAGGGGCCTGTACTCCATAGCCATATACCCTTAAGATGTAAATAACAGTGTAATAGTCCAATTTATGTCGAGTTTAATTAATTGCTATTTATTTGACATTATAGCTATTCACTAGTTATTTTAAAATCTAGATGCAGTTTGCTATCATATCATCCCTATTTCTTACTTAAAGGCCCTGCACACTGTCATTTGTTCCACTGGTATTTATCAACAAAAAACAACACCTATGGGTTTAAGATTCTCCTCTCATTTGGATCGAATTATGCAATGTGTATTCCTAACCATAATATCCACATCCCTAACTGTGATATCCACATCATTGATAGGGATTGATTTTATGGGAACTAGATCTTTGATCATCCAAGAGGTATTGTTCCTAATGAACTCTGAATATGTCTTGTGTGCAACTTGGAAATCTAAAAGATTTCAGTACATAACACTCATAAGTCGTAAATATCCACGCATTAATGATCTCTAACAAGCACTCAAATTCTTTTCGACAGGAGGAACAAATTGCAAAAGGAGTGAAAGAAATGAAACAAAGACATATGACATCATTCATAACCGCCATCGACAAATGCATAAACCAAAAACTCCGCGACAAGGAACTCGAAATCGACAGCATAAACAAGAATAACAAAGATCTCGCTGACCAAATCAAACAAACTGCAAGCGAAGCCCAAAACTGGCAGTACCGAGCCCGATACAACGAGTCGGTGGTCCACGCCCTACAAAACAACCTCAAGCAAGCCCTAGCTGCACAGGGCACCGCTGCAGCTGATCAGGGCAGAGAGGGGTGTGGAGATAGTGAGGTTGATGATGCTACTTCTTATGATCCTGATGTTGGCAAAATGGGGGACGAGAGGAAGAAGAATGCGGTTGGGGGCTGTAGGATTTGTACTAAGAGCGAGGTTTGTATGTTGGTTTTGCCTTGTAGGCATTTGTGCATGTGCAGGGAGTGTGATGGGGTTGTTGATGCTTGTCCTGTTTGCTTGGCTGTTAAGACTGCTAGCATTGAGGTTTATGTGTCTTAAAGAGAGAGATACCGTCGCTGCAAATGGTAGCGATGTTACATTGTAACCGTAATTTAGGTATTTGGTGTTTGTTGGTGGTTGCGGTGTTGTTGTAAACTTGCAAGTATAATTTACTATGGTTATGAATGTTACTTGAAACCTAGAGGGAAGATGTACAATTGAGCGTTGGTCCAAAGATATAATAAGCTTTTTGTTTTGGCGGAATTACCAGGAATCCATAGAAAAAGTGGGTTCCATGTCCAGAATTCGGTCAGAACAACGTAGTCAATCATAATTTTGTGTTTGGTTTGAAGAAAAGTTTGCTGAGGAAAGTAGATGAAATTTGTTTTTGTGAACAGTCCGAGACACCATTTGGTGTCTCGGACTGTTCACCCGAGACAGTGAACATTGTCTTGGGTGAACAGTGACAGAGGGTTTTCTTTGGGCTTTTTCAGATCCGTTTTTGACCTGTTTTTCATTATAAATAAGAACATGTTTCCTAGGGTTTTTGAGAGGAGAAAAAGGAGAGTTTTGGCGGCTACAAAAAGAAGGGTCTTTTCAGATATAGATCAGAGATCTTGATGAGAGAAAAAGAGAGAGCTTGGAGGGATTTTACAAGAGAGGTCAATTTCTTTGAAAAAGGAGGGTTTTGACGGCTACAAAAAGGAGAGTCTTTTCAGATCTAGATCTGAGATCTTGAGGAGAGAAAAAGAAAGAGCTTGGAGGGATTTTATAAGAGAGAGGGCAACTTTTTTTGTGTAAAAGTTAAAGCTTCTTCTTTGGGACGAGCTTGTGGGTTGTACAAGTCGTCGGTGTTTTTCTTCTCGCTTCCCTCCCCCCCCCCTTCCCTGTGGACGTAGACAAGTTTGCCGAACCATGTAAATCTCGTGTCTTTACTATTTTCTGGGTGTTGGCTATTGCTTGTAGGTTCCCTCGACAATTCAGTCCTATAACTGATGAGAGGAAGAGTGTATATCTCACTTTGTTGAGATATTTTACTTCTGTGTGTATATCTCACTTTGTTGAAATATTTCACTTATGTTCTTGTTTCCTTTGTGAAACGGGAATATAGAGATTGACTTGAGCTTTTGTAAAAACAAAAGTCAAGGCTTTCTCTCACATTATATTGCTTTCGCGGCGTGAGGGCGTGTCTCTACCCCCAACAATTGGTATCAGAACCCTTTATTCAGATTGGAGGTGATAAAATTTCTGATCTGAGGTGGTGCTTGATTATTGTGTGGTGAACACAAGGTATTTGTTAGAATTCCTAAGAGAAGCGGATTTATTAATACAAACGGAGAATGACGTCAACAACTAAAGCAGTTAAAGTTTGAAAGTACGAGATCAAAAAGTTCAATGGGAAGAATGATTTTTCCTATTGGAGGATGCAGATGAAAAACTCGTTGATTTTGCAGAAATTGCACAAGGCTTTGGCTGGAAAGAAAAAGAATCACAATAATATGTCTGATGAGGATTGGGAGGAGCTACATCTGGAAGCATGTGCGTCGATTATCCTATGCCTTGAGAGGGATGTAGCTTTCTTGATAGATGGAGAGGAAACGGCTGCGGGCGTGTGGTCGAAGTTAGAAAGCATCTTCATGACGAAGAGTCTAACGAACCGGATCTATTTAAAATCTAAATTGTATACTTACAAGATGGAGGAGGGATCATCAATCCGGGAATATATCAACAAGTTCGATAGGATAATATCGGATCTGAAGGACATCGATGTGACTGTAGAAGATGAGGACCAGGCTCTTCTACTGCTTCTATCTCTACCGAAGTCTTATGAGAACCTGATGCAAACACTGATGCTTGTGGGAAGACAATTTGACGATGAATGAGACTAGAACGACACTTCTAGCAAATGACCTTCGGAAGATTGCAACCAGTGACATGACTACTGGTGGTAACAAGGAATAGGCAAATGGATTGTTTGCTAGAGGAAGGGGCAATGAGAGAGGAAAAAGCAAGGGAGGAAAGTCTAGATCTAAATTAAGCATCTTGCGGGAAGACCGTGTTTCAAATGAGGTGAAGTTGGGCATTTCAAGATCGATTGTCCAAATAAGAGAGTAGGTGGGAAGAACAACAACAACAAGACTGAGAGGAGATAAGGAAAGGAAAAAGCGAGCTATGTTTCAGAGAAATAGAGCGAGAAGGAATGCTATGTCGTCATGGGCGGCGAGGATATCTCCGGGAAGTAGATTCTTGATTCAGGTTGCTCTTACCACATGTGACCAAATAGGAAGTGGTTTACTACCCTACAGAATCATTAATTGTGGAATTGTATTGATGGGAAACAACCATGCTTGTAAAATGGTGAGGCTAGGTAATATCAAGATCAAGATGCATGATGGAGTGGTCCGAACCATGACAGATGTGAGGCACGTTCCCGACTTGCGGAAGAATCTTATCTCAGTTGGTGCATTGGACTCCGGTGGTTACATGATTGTTACAGAGAACAGAGTGAAGAAGATTGTTTACGGTTCCCTAGTGGTGATGAAAGGTGTTCGTCATGGTAATTTATACACTCTCTTAGGTACGACGGTGACGAGAGATGTAGCGGTTGGAACTGAAGGAAGTGGTGGAGACCCATATGAGCATACACGGTTATGGCATAGGCGGTTTGGGCATATGTCAGAGAAGAGTCTGGGTCTGTTTGGTAAGGAGGGATTGCTGAAGAATCTGAAAAAATCTTGCATGGATTTTTGCGAGGATTGTGTATACGGGAAGGCGCACAGGATCAAATTCTTGAAAAGCAATCACAAGAACAGATGTATATTAGACTATGTGCACACAGATGTGTGGAGTCCTGCTCAAACAACTTCCAAGGGTGGTTCCATGTATTTTGTCTCGTTCATAGATGATCATTCGAGGTATGCTTGGATTTATTTTCTTAATCATAAGAATGAGGTATTCAATACATTTAAGAAGTGGAAAGCGATGGTTGAAAACAGGACAGAGAAAAAATTGAAGACACTAAGATCTGACAATGGTACAGAATATACAGATGGTGCTTTCAAGGAGTTCTGTGATCAGGAGGGCAGTGCTAGACACTGGACAGTCAGATCTACACCACAGCAAAATGAGGTCGCGGAGTGGCTGAACCGAACATTGTGGGAGAAAGCAATGAGTATGCGATCTTATGCTGGATCAGGTAAGGAATGGTGGGCAGAAACGGTAGCTACAGCTTGTTATATTGTGAATCATTCTTCATATTCTACATTGAATGGTGATACACACTATAGGGTGTGGTCAGGGGAGCATGTAGATTATGAGAGGCTCCGGATTTTTGGGTATATCGCCTATTATCACGTTAACGAGGGAAAGCTTGGCGCGAGGGCCAAGAAGGCTATATTCTTTGGATATACAAAGGGTGTAAAAGGCTACCGTCTTTGGTGTATAGAAGATTTGAAGTTCGTGATCAGCAGTGATGTTACCTTTGATGAGAAATCCATGATTTCTAATGTGCCCAAGGATGATGGTGTTGGGACTGTTGGGACTTCAAAGTCTCAGGTCATTGAGATAGAACCTAAAGACCAACCAGGTTCTAGTCACGTTCAAATGAGAAATCAGGTAGATGATGATCTTGAGCAGGAGGAGGATCAGTAGGAGAATACACAAGCACTATAATAACAGCAGCTCGAGGATAGTTTGGCTTCCACTAGGCCAAGACGAGCATACAAGCACGTACTGAAGCTGGGGGCTGATCAACCCCTGAAGCACTATGTGCAGGTTAATTTGGTGGAATGCGCACTCTTTGTGGAGGATGATGATTCGGTCTCCTTCAAGGAAGCTATTCAGGATAGAGATAGTGAGAGTTGGTTGGCTGCGATGGAGGAGGAGATGAAATCTCTTCGGAAAAATCAAACATGAGAGGTGGTCTCATTGTTTGTAGGAAGAAAAGCTATTGGTTGTAAGTGTGTGTATAAGAAAAAGAAAGATCCTTCAGAGCTCGGTGGTACAAGGTACAAGCGAGGCTAGTGGCTAAAGGGTTTACACAAAGAGAGGGTGTGGATTACAATTAGATATTTTCTCCGGTGGTGAAACACACTTCTATTCGGGTGCTATTGAGTATTGTTGCTCATGGTGATCTTGAGCTGGAACAACTCGATGTAAATATGGTCTTCTTGCACGGAGACTTGGATGAAGAGATCTATATGCATCAATCTGAGGGCTACAAGGTTGAGGACAAGGAGAATCATGTATGTCGCTTGAGGAAGTCACTCTATGAGCTGAAGCAATCTCCTCGGCAGTGGTACAAGCGATTTGACTCCTTCATTCTGAAGCATGGATTTTCCCGAACCGATTACGATTGTTGTGTTTATATTCGGAAGTTTCATGGAGGTGATTATATCTATCTTCTTTTATATATGGATGATATGCTTATTGCTTTGAGGAGCAATGTAGAGATAGATAGGCTGAAATCTCAACTTAGTAAAGAGTTCGAGATGAAGGACATAAGCGCTATAAGAAAAATATTGGGTATGGAGATTAGAAGAGAGCGGACGAATCGGCGATTGTTCTTAAGTCAGAAGGGCTATATAGAGCGGGTGATCGCGAGGTTCGGGATGCAAAGTGCTAATTCGGTGGTGACTCCATTGGCTCTACACTTCAGTCTTTCGGGCAAACAATCTCTCACTGCAGCAGAAGAGAAGACACACATGGAACGTGTCCCCTATGCTAGTGCACTTGGCAACTTAATGTACGCAATGGTATGTACACGCCCAGATATTTCACAGGCGGTCAGTGTCGTTAGTAGATTCATGACGAATCCGGGAAAGGCACATTGGGAAGCGGCCAAGTGGGTTCTGAGGTACTTGAAGGGTACCGTTAATACGAGTTTGTATTTTGGTGGAGATACATATCAGAATGATGAGTTTGTTGACTCTGATTATGCAGGCGATCTAGATAGACGACGATCTACTACTGATTATGTATTCATGATACATTGAGCTCTAGTTAGTTGGCAATCAATGTTGTAGGCTACAATGACACTTTCTACTACAGAGACCGAGTACATGGTCATGATGGAGGAAGTGAAGAAAGCATTGTGGTTGTGGGGTCTTCTAGACGATTTGGGGATTGAGCAGGAGAACATGAACTTATGGTGTGACAGTCAGAGTGCGATTCACATGGCGAAAAATCAAGTTCATCATGCTCGTACCAAGCATATCGATGTCAGGTATTATTTCGTGCAGGATATCATAGAGGAAGATGATATT